GTTTCTGTGATTGACAAGTGTTGACAAGCAAAATGTTCATATTATGGACGGAGAACTGATGGTTGACAGTTGAAGGAAGTCATCTTTGTTAATAGGAAAAAAACCTTCACTGGAGAGCAATGTATTGCGGTTTCAGCTTTCAAGCATTTACAATTTAGTCCTTGAACTAAGTTCAAAGAAGTTACACTCATCATCATTTAAACACAAAACCTGCCTTACTTAGAATAAAAAGAGGTAAATTTCAATTCTGTCTTTCAATTAAACTTTAGAGGATGTGGTTATTGATGTGATAACCACATTCTGGTGGAGGAGCAGTGAGATCACTTAGGGGCGTCTGACTGCAGACAGAAATTAAATTCAAATAGTAACATATATTATCTTCCTAGTAAAGTAAAGCATTTTCTTCCTCTATTATTTAAAAATCAATATATATCCCTTCTTCCACTGTGTTGCTGTTGTGTTTTCTTTTGTGGAAGTGACCTCAGCTACAGTGGGCAGGATTTTGTTTTAGTTCAGCAGCTTGGCTTCTGATAGAGTAAGAATGCTCAGATGTTCTTATCGCCTTCAGAAAAAGAACACATTTCTCTTTTCATGTGGATTAATTAGGCTTTACTCAGACTGCTTCTCAGTCTTTTTTTCTTGTGCACCATGACCAACTCTTCCTGTGCTTGATATCATTTCCTTTTACTATTACAGATGTCTGTTCGCCTGCATTGTCTGTACTCAGGTTGTTTATCAGACCACACCATAACAGTCACATCAGACAGGAAGTGAAAGCTTACCTTATTTGGGCACATGCAAAAAGGATTTGAAAGTGATGCAGGAGCAGCAGTTTTTATACTTTAGAAAGAGTTTCCATTACAACACTGGAAAAGAATCTAGATCTAGATAAGTAATTTTTTCTTAAAATAAGTGTATTTGTTCTTGAATTGAGGAGGTAAGTGGAACTCTTTGCCAATGGAACAATACAATTTACACTTGAAATAAGAAAACACAACTGCATTCTCTTATTTCCAGTGCATATTATCTAATTATCTTATTTTAAGAGTAAAAATACTCATTCCATTGGCAAACTATCTCATTTAACTATTCAAATTAGGGGTAAAAACACTTAATATAAGACAGTTTTACTTATTTCTTGATCGTTTTTTCCAGTGAAAGCCCTACATTTAGTACCATAGAAAATGTAACCTGTAAAGATGAATGTAAACAAAGCAACAATAACTTCCAGTCACACAAATTCTGTCAAAAACAGTAGGCCAAAATACCACCAAACCTAAGATGCTCCTGGATGGATGTTTAAAACACCTACAACCTACATTGCAATTGGTCAAATATTTAAGAAAAGGTTTAAACTACTAAATTAAAACTAATTTTATATGTAAACTGTAAGGAATTTTTTTTTGCACAGGAGCAATCATATTATGTCATGTGACCTACACACAGGCTGTCCCATACAGAGTAAGCGGTGTCTCTAAGCATATTGAACATAGAAGGTTGAAATAGCATATGAAGATGCGGCAAATATATATAAAAAATATATCATACATTCACCCATGCATTTTATTACAAAATTAGAGAATCCATGTTTGAGGGTTTCTAAATGCAACCAATCTGAGGCTCAAACGTTTTGCTTAATATTATAAATTTTCTCGCATCGTCGCTCCACCTCTCTTGCCTTGCTCAGCTGCAGCCTCTTGTCGGTGCCTAAGCTGAGCAGGCTGAGGAGAGCAGCCCTCTTCCATGCCTCACAATGAGGCAGTGTGTCCACCGTGAAGACAAAGCAGCAGGATGAGACGAGGAGACTGGATTTGGTTCAGGATCTAGAGAGTTTTGCAGGAATGCTGTGGAGAGAACTGCTGAAGGTTTGTTTAACCCACTACAAAATCTCACGCCTTCTTTCTTTGACAGGAAATGAGTGAAAGCTGATGGTAAATAAAAGAGAAAGCGCGTCAGCGGCGCACGAAAAGCTTATACGCATATCAGCGCGGCCGTTATATGTGGAAATGAACGCCTTATGCGTTAAAGGATGATAAAACCCTGATTGATTTCCAGTGCTTAATATCCAGTCATAAGTGGGATTTTCGTGCATCTTAATGTGTTAATTGAAACTATGATCCAGGAAATGCGTGAGGTTCGCTTTAGTATAAAACCAGATTTAAGACTAAATTAACTAAATATATTTTAATTCAAGTTTTCCAAAACGGAGACAGTAGGCTTCAAAAAGTAGTCAGTAACGGATTGCATTTAAATAGTGGATGCCCCCTCCCCCAAAACCCTGCGCTGTATTCAACTACACAGACATCACACCCACATGGTAGTCAATTTCAAATATGCAAACCGAAATCATTTATGAATTAAATACAAAATTGAATTTCATGAATGCAGAAATGCAATTTGAAACAATTCCTAATCTTCAAAAAAACCAAAAAACAAAAACAAAACAACAACTTAGAGATAAAAGCTTTCAAAATAAATGTGCAGCTTTCACCACCCCCACAATTGCTCTGAAGGAAACCATTAATGCAATTTGCAGTTAGGTAATGACGCGTTTTTCTGCTGGAACAGATACTAAGTTGTTGCCAAATGCTCCAATGACTCTTTCACATCTAAACGTGCTCAGATGCTTCACCATGCAGTGGTTTATCCAATTTCAAGTAATTGGGTAATATTTAGTCAAATACCTCTTTGTTACTTTGAATTATCTACTTAAAAACTGCAGATTTCACATCAATACTATCTCAGCTGTATTTAATGCTTACATCTTTTATACACAGTATTAGAGATTAATTACTATGACATTTTTATCATATTTAGTTAGTTTACATAACATGAGAAAACACTTCTAAACCATGGGAATAATTTATAAAACTGGTTCTTCAAGATTTGATTTAGATCATTGATCTCCAGGCAAGTGGAGGCTTGTATATTCATTGTAACTTCACTGTCTGGGTTTAGACCTGTTTTATGAATACTGGAGATTGGGGACCTGGCACCTTAATCGTAGAGACATGTACACAACTGCCTCCGTTTTTAAACAGCTTTTTTTTTTTGGAATGGATCCTTAAAACAATGGCAAGCCTATTAATGGGCTTGATGTTATTTATTCAGTGTAAAAACCTATAATTTTGGAGCAAATTTGTTCAGTTTACATCAAGTGCACCAGTTTACTGCAAATGTGACTTTTGGAAACCTTAAAAAAATAATAATAAAGTTAACTACTATCAATTATTTAGATTTAATACATATTTTACCAATACAAACTTATCCTACATATTGACTGTATTTAATCTAACTTTTTTGTTGTGGTATTTAATGGAGCACAACAAACAATGGTTATTAAGATTACAATACCAAGTGTTTAAAAGGTGTTAACTACAAGCAGAAATATACTGTGGCAGTAGCTCCTTCAGGGAGGTCTTTCCAGAAAAGAGAAAGGGTAACATAAATATTAATACAGGGCATAGTGTCTTTCATGAAGTGTGAAGCTTAATGATAAGTTGTAGGGGGAAGTAGGAGGGTCAAAACGGCAGCAGTCTAAAACGGCATCAGAAGATGGCACACAAAGTCCATGGCCACTCTAACTTTTTGGGTTATCGTAAACCTGATGAGTATATTTAGAAAAGCAATACATATTTTCTATACTCAGCTGATCTGAGGACAACAAATCTTGTTGCAATGCATAAATAGACTAAAGATAGCTAAGAACAAATGATAACTTATATGATTGTATATGGTGAGTCTTACTGTGTGCAATAAAAAATGAAATGTTCCGCTCAGACTACTTGCCAATACAGATGTATTTATTTAATCTCATTACATATCATCTGCAGAGTCTGAATATTATATTTTCTTTTATTTTGCTACAAATAATAATATAATAAACTAAAGCTGCCAGAAATTTAATTTGGCAGTCATAATGCTAATATAAATGTATACCATACTGTACTTTCAAATATACAATATCGGTAGGATACTGTATTTTAAGTTACGCATCCCACTTATACTAGTACCATTGTTGGTCAGCTTGGTTGACAGACTCTAACTGCCCCTAATATCCAAACCTGATTCAATTCAATTCAAAAATACTATAAGTAATAATTGTTCTGTACATTTGACAGTGTAATGACAATAAAAGTAAAAGAAAAAAAAAATAGATGATTGTTTCCACACCATACCAAAAAGTGGTTCACTAGCTTTCTTTACTCAACGTATTGTCCATCTTTAATGCACCCAATGACTGTAGAGTCATCCAAGTATTTCTGCAGGTAAAAGGACTTAGTCTTGTACTGGAAGTCAGACGTGTACAGAGGTAAACACAATGTTCACAGCATTGTCCCCTGCTGTGCTCCTGTGCTGCTGACTACTCGATTAGACAGTTGACTCATCAGTCTAACAAACTGTGGTCTGTTTATCAGGTAGTCTTTGATCCAGGCCAATGTTGTTGCTCCACCCAAGTCTTCGGACGTTTCTGACAAAGAAAGTCAGGCTTGTGGTAGATCAACTGGAGAAATCAAAGAACATGATCCTCACAGTGCTGTCTGCCTTCTCTAAATGACATTGATTTTGTTGATGCAGTTATATGATGGCATGTTAAACTCCAACCCCAGGATGATAACTGCAAAGGGTCCTGATAGCTGTTTGTTTGTTCTCCTAGGTGAACCATCAGAAGTCTCTCTAGGACCTTCTTTATCTGGGATGTCAGGGCAACACGTCTATACGTTACTATAGTAACTAAGGATTGTTGGGTGAGATTTATTTGACACTGGAACAAGTCAGGAGGTTTTCCACATCACTGGAACTGTCCCCTGCATCAAACTAAAGCCCCATATACTCTACCCTTTTGAAACCGTGCCGACATCGGTCCAAGCACGGTAACCGAGATTGAGTGTAAACGTGATGCAAAACTGAACCGGACCACGCCAGACACAACCGAACTGCGCTAAACTGGTACTAGTTTATCAGTAGGGCTCGGCGCGGTTCAGTTCTGGCTCAGTTCTCAGATAACAAAGAGCGCATGAGCAGACTCCATAATCTCCTTACAGCCAGCCTCCGTAATTAGGAAATTTCAGACATTCATAAAAGTACTAGCTTACCTACTTGTCCCCCATGATTTCCAGTGGTGATTCTGCTTAGCAGTTTCATGACCCTCAACATCTGTTGTTATTTCCTGCGTCTGTAAGCTCTGATTAGACTATCATTTTTCGTATCCACTTCCCAAAAGCCGACTGTCAAGTAAATTCACCAAAGGCTGTCTTCTTCGCCTGACTCTCCGCAAACTTCCTGAATGTTACAGGCGCAACCATGTTGATTTGCTAGTTTCCCTCTAGAGAGCAGTAGTACCATAGATCGTCACTAGGAGGCTATAAACATGCTAGGGTGGTGTGTAAATGATCGTAAGGAACCTAGTTTGGCATGGTTAACTGATCCAAGCTCGGTCTGAACTCGGCACGGATTGGTTTTCAGAGGGTAGTGTAAATGGGGCTTATGGTTGAAGAGGTGTTGTAGAATCCCACATAGCTGCTCTGCACAGGTCTTCAAGACTCTGGGGCTGACACTATGTGGATTTGGTAACTTATTACGATTTAGTCTTTCCAGCTGCCTCTTCACTTGACTTTTAGAGACAGACGGGTAAAAGGTGGAGGGATCAGTACCGTCTTCTGTTTTGGCTGACAACAAACTCCTAGAAATAGGAGAATCAATGGCAGAGGAGGGGAACATGTCCATGTTACAGTGGGACATATTAAATAGTGATACATAGTACATTTTATTGGAGATATGAAAGCTTAAAGGTATTTTTATAGACTTAGTTAACAGACAATAAAAAATATACAAGATTAAACGCATGTAGTCAAGATAATATTTACCTATTTTTTTTATCAGCTAATACAAAAATAGATCAAAATGGGGTGAAAAAAAATCAATGTTTTTTGTTTTGGATCTGCTATCTACCAATCATAGAATGATTAATGAGTCTGTCTCTAATATGTTACAGAAATAGATCCTAATCTATGTAGAGCAATCTACGACCACAACAGGAACTAGACACAAGACTTCCAGTTCCAAAGCCAGGGCTCAAGTATGAGGACCAAGTATGCAGTCGTCTTCATCTTTGTTGTGGCTCTGGTCATTATTGAAAAAGAAAGCAACATTCTTTCCAGGTAAGATATTCAAAAGCTTGTTTAAATTTAATTTCTTTAACATAAAGATGAAATTAGATGACTGTTAGTTTAATCTTTTGAGATAGAAACAAAGTATCCCATATCAGGATATTTTTACACAATCTAAATGCTGGAAAAATAATCTTGAATATATATTTTTTCCAATGAAAGTTCAGCATTTACTTAGAACAGCTTATCCCCTTTGTTTTGATAGGTTCTTACTTTCTCTTTGTTTAATTGAAAGCATTAATCATGAACTAATTTAATAAGTATGGAGACTTGAAAATCTTGCTTTATCTGACAGATCAACCCACTTAGAGCAGAAACTATACCAACATTGTAAAAAAAAATACGTTGCATTCAAGATTAAAAACACCTCTTCATCTCTCAGTATGCTCTATACAGGAAAAGTTTTAATTTCACTTGGTTTAATTCTCTTTAAAATTTCTTCTTTAAGCAACCTTTTGCTATGCAATTATTAATCGAAAATAATTGTCAGATTAATTGATTAGCTAAAATAATTGTTATTTGCAGCCCTAGAGTAAACCATATATCTTTCCATGATTGATTAAACACGGGAACAAAGAAACACATATATATAAATGCACTTTATATTATTTATTAACAAACAAGCACCCAAAAGAAAGAAATTAACAGTTTCATGTAAAGTGCACTTGATTGGATCTCAGATATCAAATCACAGATAGCCAATCTAGAAGATTAGTTGACATCAGAGCCGATATCTGATTCAGATATCAAATCGATGCATCTTTACTCTACATGTGACTCCTGTGAAATTAATGCATGATGACATTAGTGAAAAGTATCATATTCTGATGGAAACAAAAACAGAGACATTGGATGTGCATTTTTTTTCTCAGTTCTCAATTAAATCACAGTTAAATCCTGAATTGTGATGGTAAAAGCACATGTTCATGCTTACCCCTTGAAGAGGACTTCTTATGCTTAAAAAACTATTTAAATGCTAATGAGGCACTTCACACCCCACACCACTCCAGGTGGAGGAGTATTCTGGTACTTAACTAATTATCTCAGACCCACAAGAAACTTCCTTCCATACATTTTTTTTAACTTGCATTTTAAAGAATCACGTTAGAAGAGCTTGATGGAAACAACATAATTTGAATCAAGTAAAAGAAAAAGGAAAAGAGTACAGGCGAGAAAGAAAATGGGCACACCGTTATCGAACATGTTCTGACAAAGCAAATATTACTTCACTTGTCTGATCACCTGTTTCTGCTGCTTGTGAATTAAAGCATTAGAGCTGCACTTCTGCTGTGCTGTGACGTCTCCACTTGGCATGTTTCCAACTAATACTAGTTTATATGACAAAGTAAGTTAAATTTGCCTGATGGTGACACATTCATTAAAACCTTGGTCCACTACTGTGGTCTTTGGTCTGCCCTAACTTGATACTTCTACTTTCAATTAATAAATTCCAAGTGTAAGTTAACTGTACAATGACAATAGTGATTGCATCATGTGGTTCATATGCTCCAAAGGATGGAAACATGTACGAGTTATATTTTCGTGTTCCTGTCTGGTATATGAATTTCATCACAAACAAAATCATTGGCTTACACCCATTGCATTTTTCCTTGCATGTCTGATAACTCTTAACGTTAAACAGTCCTTCCCAGTCAAAGCTATAAAATCTGTAATCTCTGTTCTTTGAATGATATCCGTGTTTCATGTGTTGTGTCATTCTTAATATGTTTTTTGTATGAGGTCACTCAAGACACACAAGCCAAATTCTCACAAGAGGCGGAAAAAAAAAAACAGTTTCACTCACTACTTTCTGGCAGGAGGCTGTGGTCCATCAGGACCAAAACCTCTCACTACAAGAACAGTTTCTTCCCATCTGTAACCAGCCTTATCAACAAGGCCAAGGGCCCCCCATGACACTCACACTGCCTCTCTACCTCCCCCCGTTCAGGACCTAGAAGCTACACCAACGTACCATTTCCAGACCTCCTGCGTTAAATTAATGCACAGTCTACTATTCATATAGTATAGAGCTATGTACTATATATTGCATATAGTATATTGTATGTTTTATATTGTATATAGCTATATATTATGTATAAATATCTCTTTTTCTGCACTATCAACACCAATTCAAATTCCTTGTAAGTGCAAACCTACAACAAATCTCATTCTGATTCTGAAAAAAAAGGTATGAAAAGAGGTCTGAATCAGCTTTATTTTTCTTCTCCAAAAAATAATTAGACGTAAATTTAAAGATAATTTCAAAAGAATTGGAGAAGTAAAATACCAGGTTATGACTCCTTTAACCTATTCAGGTCTGGCACATACATAGTTATCCATCAAGCTGTTATCTAATGGTTACTATATATTGTAGCTTCACTTTCTAAAATGTCTGTTTGTAAGTCTCAAAAAGAAAAGAATTTGTTTTTGTGATTTTAAAGAACTAGATAAGTTTGGAACAAAGAAAATTAATTTTTGTAAAGTGTTTGAGTTTCAAATGTTATGTTTCCATTTTCTAAATAACATTTTTGGATGATCCTTTATAAATGTATTTCTTTTTTAATAATTGCACACTCATTTTAAAATACTCCATCCTAGACAACTTTATATTTATATTTAAGTTCAATTGGATCAATATGATTGCTAATCTCTTTTAATGTTTTATACAAAACAAAGATGTTAATGTTTGCAAACTTCAGTTTAAGGGATCTGCATTATTGTAAAATACTAGATCGCTTTTCTGACATGTCCCCAGGTACAGATTAAGAAAAAAAATCTGATCTAAGTAAGTCCAGGTTTCACAAAAGCATTGGCTATTTTCAACAATCAAAAAATTGGATGCCAAATTCAACTTTGTGCTTTCCTATAATGTGTGAAACCTCTAGATAATGACACTTAATTCCTATTGAAAGTTGTTTGTAATTCGTACATTGTACCTAAATGTTTAGAATAGCATTTTTAAACATACACAAAAATAATAAATAAAGTTTTGTTAGGAAAACATGAAAAAAATTCTAATAAATTAATGTAGGAACATGGGCTAGTGGTCCAAGTCCCTTTGAAGTTTATGTCCCCCTTTGCTTCTAAGTCTCCTGCTGTCCTTACAGGTGCATTGTGGTTTAGAAAAAAATAAAGCTGTCTGAGGAAAAAATAGAAAGCACATGACTACCTAAACTTGTAATATTATAATGTCATAGTCAGAGAGAGGCAAACCTATCCTGTAAATCTTGCTTTGACACCACTAAAGAAAGGAGTGCTTTAGTAGCTTAAAAGAAGAACTCATTTGTACAAATTTGAAAAGGAGAATTAAGAGCAACATTGATTCCTGTGTTTATTTTTCCTGTGAGTCAGCACTGCAGGCAGTCACTGAGCTTAGTTAGTGCATACGTGCAAGGTATCCAGCATGACAGAGCACGATGCAGGCACTACTAATAAGGTTTCAGTCTGCTGATTCTGTGACACCAGCTTTCCTTTAACTCAGCTGCACCCATTTTTTGTAGGTAAAAACACCACTCGACATTTATAAGCAGGCTCCCAAATGTTGTATGAGTAGTGTAAGAATATGTTTAGTGCCTGCCCCTGTGTGTGTCACCATTGGCTGCTTGTACTGTATATGTCCCTAAGGGAGGGATTCTGTGACTGGATGAATGTGAATTTGTCTTATATCTACTTGTCAGGTTGAATGTTTGCCTCCCCCTACCTACTAGAATATTGTAGGCCCTAAGTATGAGCAAGGCCTGTGTCCTCCCCTTTCTTATGCTTCCCGCTGGTGCGCTGATGGTTCTCTAGGTGCGGGGTTGAATACTTGGTTGGGTGCTGCCTAGGCCTCCTGGCCCCATGGGGTCTCCATTAGGGGGTGGTGCTCCTCTGGGGCTTGGACCTGTGGGCTCTCATTAGAGTCGGGCATGACCGGCTGCTGGCTGAGCCCATGGGCTCGCTCTCACAGCCCAGTGGGATTATGGCCTCTGGGTTGGTGCCCCTCTGGGACTGGGCCTATTTGGGGTTTGACCCCCTCAGGGGTCAGTCTCCTGGAGCTCTCATCTGCCCATCTCTTGTGTATGCGTCCATTGCTATGTCTGCCTTCCTTGTGTCCCAGTGATGTGGGATTCCTTTGGTTATCTGGGGCTGGCGTCTCCTCTATCATTCCTGTTTTCCTCTCATCTCATAAGGTGTGGAAGCAGGCTTCTAGGAGTTAATGTATGTCTTCTGTGTTGTCTATTTTTGCAGTTTTGTTTTATTTTCTCTCTTCTTATCTGCTTGTTCTCTGTCCCTTTACTTCTTATCCCCCCGTTCTTGTTCACCTCCCTTTCTGTATCCATGTCCGTTGTATACTATTTCCTCCCTAAATACTTTTTGATAACGCTTCATATACAAGTACCAAGAAGAACCACAGTCATAATGGTCTGCATGTGGAGGCAAATCTGTTGGGTTATCAGCTAGCTCCAGGTAGTCTATTCTCAGCGAAACAAGACACAGAAAAAGAAAAAGGAAGCTCAATTCTGTTTTGTGTTAATGCAGTGTGACTGTTTAAGCAAATTAAATTCTTTTTAAATTTACCAAAATACACAAACATGTGAGTTGATAATGTCTAATAAAATTTCACATTTTGTCATTTTAAAGAAAAAATATTGTTTTAGTTAGATTAGATTTGCTTTGCAGTCTGGCAATGAGAGCATTTCAAAGAAGCTAGATCTTTGTTGTCATTATTTACTTCTTTATATTGCGTCGGTCAATCATATGAATTCCAAGTTTTTGATTGTAATGTGACACATGAAATGGTTCAAGGGCTATAAATGCTAAGCAAGATAACAAATCTAGTTTGAGATATATCTAATATTGCTTCATACATTTTAAGATTTGATGATTTTCATTATTTATTTTCATTACCAGGGTCTCGGATAAGCTGATTCAGAGGCAGACTCCACAGCTGACCTCTCAGAAGGACAATGATACAGCACCAAGGAGTTCTGTGGATTTATTAGAACTACTGCTTGCCCAACAACCTCCTGCGACAAACAACAAGTCTGATTTCATAGAAAAGGAAAAAGTGGATGAAATGGAACATGTTAGTTCACAAAGAAACAGTGGCGGTCGCAAGCATGTGCTGCTCATGGCCAGCACTCGGACAGGATCCTCATTTGTGGGGGAGTTTTTCAACCAACATGGAGAGACCATGTTTTATTTATTTGAGCCTCTGTGGCATGTTGAGCGCATGCTGGCTACAGCAGCAGAGGGGACCAATGGGACTCTTTTGCCAGGAATCTATCGGGATATCCTCCAGGCTCTCTTCCTCTGTGATTTCTCTCCTCTGGAGAAGTTCATCTCTCCTTCACCAAAGAACCACGTCACACCTGATCTGTTTCGCAGAGAGTCAAGTCTATCTCTCTGTGAAGAACCTGTTTGTACTCCTGTGGTCAAAGATGTTATTGAGAGGTATTGTATATTCTCCAAATACTAGTACCATATACTGCTACTCAAATTCAATAAACTTACTTTAACTTTGCAAAATGGCAGAACAAGGATTCTGAAATGACTTATATTATTAACGCCTCTGTAACGAAGGGATGGCAATTATGTTTAAAGTGATTTGCAAACACAAACCTTCTGCACATTTTTGTGCTTTTTTGTGCCATCAATCAACAAAAAGTAGCTCATATCTGCTTGGATTAAAACAATAAATAATTTTCTAGAATTTCTAAGTCAAATAAACAAGGAAATTGTATGTAAGGATTTTTATTCTGCCCCATGAGTCAAATAATATTTATTCAGCAGATTTACAGAAGTGAGACGCTTAGTACTATTGCCTGCAAGAAAGCCCAAGCTCAGTTATATCAACAACATTTGGGAATATCCGTTGTTATGCATGCCACAGGTTCTTTGGATTTCAGTCTGGAATTTTATTTTAGACTATCCACTTATCCTTTAATTTTCACCACATTCCTTGTTTATTTTTGTCTCATCTGACCAGTGCACCTTTCTCAGTGTGCTGTGTCCCGTAAATGGCTTGTGAAACACTGCAACAAGTAATTTCTGTCTTTCTTTTAACAGTGACTTTTCCAGTCACTGTCAGCTCCTCCAGAGTTGTCTCTTGACCTTTTAGTCCTGTTTTTATGTTGCAGGGTCTTCACTTCAGAGACATTCAGTCAAGAAATATTTAAGCTAAGATGAAATCACACTTGAATTTTTTTGTTAATCAGCTGATTTTTAAAGGCATTTGGTTCCATTGGATTTTATTGAGGAACCAATAAATGGTTTCTCAATATGCTCATTTAATCATATTCCTCCTTATGTTGGTTTGTGACACAAATTCCTAGGTTTGTTTGAAGTTTGTAAACTGACAAATTGTTCAAAGGTTTACAGGCATTTCTAGGTTACTGTAATCTTCTCATCAAGTTATTCATAAACAATCAAACTTTTAGTTAAACCACCTTTTGCAAAATGTAGCAAAGTTCTTATTTTTTAACCACATTTGTCTGATGATATTTATTATTTTGTCTTAGGTATCATTGCAAGATTCGCCAGTGTGGACCACTGAACCTGACTCTTGCATCAGAGTCCTGCCTCTCCAAACAACACCATGCCATAAAAGCTGTCCGTGTGAGACAGCTAGACACACTGCGACCTTTGATGGAAGACCTTCGTCTGGACATCACAGTTATCCAATTGGTCCGAGATCCAAGAGCCATTTTAGCTTCGCGCATGGTGGCCTTCTCTTCAAAATACAAGACATGGAAAGCCTGGGCGCAGGACGGCCAGGTTCCTGAAAATGATGAAGAAGTAAAGAGACTTAAAGGAAACTGTGATCAAGTTAGGGTATCTGCAGAACTTGGACTTAGCAAGCCAAATTGGCTTAAAGGGCGTTACTTGTTGGTGCGGTATGAGGATATCGCTCGTTACCCAATGCAAAAAGCTGAGGAGATGTACAAGTTTACAGGGATACCTTTCAGCTCCCAAGCAAGGGAGTGGATCCTGAGGAACACACAGACTACAGAGGAAGCCAGTGGAATATATTCCACACAGAAGAACTCTTCAGAACAGGCAGAAAAATGGAGGATTAAAATCCCCTTTACACTTGTTCAGGTTGTGCAGAAAGTGTGCGGTCCCACCATGAAGCTGTTTGGATACAAATTTGTGGAAGATGAAAAGACATTAATTAATAAGTCTATCAGTTTGCTTGAAGACAAACAATTTCCATAATCAAATACAGTTTTTTACAAAACTCAACCCAACTCAAAATGTATTTATAAAGCACATTTAAAACAACCAGTGTTGACCAAAGTGCTGTACAGACATCACAGTTGCAGGAAATAAGGTAAAAACTTAAAAACTAAAATAATAAATCCTTAATCCATACTCAGTACCTACAAAATTCTTGTTGGAATGGAGGCTGTCTCTATTGATCAGTAGGTGAGAGGTGCGGTACACCTTACACAGTGTGCCAATTCATTAGCTCTTTGGTGAGCTGTACAAATCATGCACAAGAAATTCTCACTTAAGGACAATTTACTTAGCTCGGATTATGTGTCATGCAAGATTTTGTACCTAAAGAGGAAGCTAAGGGAGAATATGAAAACTACATATAGAAATCTCCTGGGCAAGATTTCTTGACAGGGTTACGTTACTCTGCGGTTGCAATAAAATAAAAAAAATTACACAAGTATAATATTAAAAATGTGCCTCCCTTTACCAACAAATTACCTTTATTTTATAGGCAACAACTTTACTGTGCACTGAAATCCCTCAGTTGCCAGTCATTTGAATTGTACCATGACCCTTAAATATCAAATTAGACGTGGCTTATTAGGGGTGCTGCATGGAATGTAGGGCTTTAATGAAAGAGGACAGTATTTTTAGTGGTAAGCAAAATCTATATGGTAATTTTGGAAAGTGTCTGTGGTAGGAATGTCCCTAATACAGATTCAAATTGGTTAAGAGTATACATTTGGCTACATAGCTATTCGACTCTTAAGTGGTAGTGGAAGTACATCTACCCTAATGAGTGGGTTCTGATTAGTGCAGGCAGTTAAGAGGGAGCTAGGACCAGGAAGCAGTATGCTTTTTAGTACAAAGGCAGTTTGCATAGGGACCTCCAGATGTCCCTAGGCGCAGCTGGGGGCTATATTTGGCAACAATCATTTGTGTGACGGACCGCATAGTCCCACTTCACTGATTTTAACAAAATACAATTTTTTTTTGACATGTACTGTGTGACACACATGCAAGTGTCCTCGCCTAAGTATGTTATGGGTTTTATAACTGAGAGCTTCCGTCGTACTTTTGGCTCTCCTGTAGGATGTAGTCCCAATTTGACCAGTGTCGGTCATGTGCATGTCCACCATGTAAAGCTGAGGGCTCCCTGGGTACAACACAGCAGTCCGCAGTTCCTTTTGTGTAGAAAAAAAATGCATTTTCTTAATAATGCTATTTGGATATTTCATGTTTTATAGTGGCATGGTGAAAATCAATTAATCCCAAGTCACATTCATAATACTAAAAGAGGTATTCAGATATTGTACTTACAAGTTCAATAATAGGTCTCCATCAGTTTTGAATCCTAGGTTTTGTTTTAGGTCTTGCCACGGAGCAAACACTTTGCTCCATTGCTCACGCTTCTGACAACCCTGTCCTAATCCTGTGGGTTTGTTTTGGCTGCCATCAAGCTGAACCTCTTACAGAGTGGCAAGACTGCTAAAAACTTGCAAATGAGGGGGAGGTGAAATACCACTCAATTGCATTATCAATATTTAGACGACCATCCGTCTTCTCCCACTCATTCTGTCAGAGTGCTGAAGCTATTGCCTATCTCCAGAAGTCTGTGGGTGCAATGAGGGGTACACCCTGGACAGGCCAGTTTGTCAAAGGCGAACATGGAGACACACAGAGACATACGACCATGCATACACAAACTCACATGTAAAGATAATTCAGGCAAGCAGGTTAAGCTAACAGTCATGTTTTTAGACTGTTGGAGTAAGGCAGAGTACTCGTAGAGAACCCACACATGCACGGGGTGAACATGCACACTTTATGCAGAAAAACCCTGGACCAGGAGTCGAACCCAGAAATTATTTCAGCTTATTCTATGTCACAAAACTTTACAAAATGCTCTTTTGCAATACTTTGTAAATATAAAGCAACTTTGGACTTAAGAGATTGAAATAGATTTATACACATTAATTTTTTATAAAGATAGGAAAAACTATACATCGCTTACCTCAGAGGGCTTTTCAGCTATCTATGTTTCCGAGCATCGACTGGTATTTTTAAGCCTCCAAGGGATTGTGAGGCTTTATTTATTTTCCACGTTTTTTTTTTATGTTGCTCTACTCATCATACTATCTAGATAAAAACCTACACCATTAAAAGAAATACTTATTGGAGAACTGCTGTTTATGAAATTCAGTTCGTGTTAGTTGATAAAATTAAATTTAACACATTTTAGGAAAATAAACCAACATAGAGTAATTTAATCATCAGAAATTTTTTTTTTGTTGTTGTTTTTTAGGCGATATGTGTGATGTGTGCGTCCTTGCCTAAGTCTGTATATCATTCAGTGAAATACAGGTGGTGTTGCATTGGTGGTCCATAAAGGTAACTACTGTGACTATGATTCAATGACAGCATTGTGTTCAGCTTGGCTGGGGCTCAAGTAATGCTACCATGCTGTCAAGGAAAGAAAATGTGCTTCAGGGATTCTTGTAGAGTGGACCTATCCTCACTTTGTGTTTTTAAAGCTGAAACCTATTCTTAAATAAAGCAGTTTTTCAAAGGTATCACTTTAAAAATGTGTTTACTTTCTTTTGGATTCAATGATATCTGTATTTTTTCTATTAAAATGAGTCTCAGTCTTTGTCTTGTACATCCAAAAGTTTCTTTTTTTATTCAAAATTTGGTTGAAAGCATTTTTTTATTGAACAAATATCTACTCTACATTTTGTTTCATTTACAAAGCATTGGTTGGTTCCAGCTCAAACCTATACAAAGAACATTTCATCATGTTTTCAGTGTTTTCTCACTTTTGTTTTTGCTAGTAAAATGCATCAATCTTGGTTTTTACCAAGTTTGTCTCATTCTTGTTTCTTACATCTCATGCCTTCTTTTACTGAGTGTTTGTTATAAGTATTATGTTATGTTTAATACATAAATAGAAGTTTAAAAGAAAGGAGAAGCATTTTTAAGGATGGTTTTCTTGCAAGCATGAAGCAAGCCAGAGTATTATTTGCTAGCTGCGTGTACTTTTATTTGACACATTTTTACCGATGAAACAAGATGTTAAATATCTGAACCTTCCTTATTTATTAGAGCTGTACTTTTCTAAAATGTATTACTCTACATATATTTTAATGTGAGCACTTTAGATCTTTAAAAAGTCTTACTTTTGAAGAATTCTCTCAGACATGATAAGTTAGAGAAAGAATGTAAATCATACACTTAACCTGTCGTTTATAAACAATGCTTTGCAAAAGTATTTATACCTCTTGAACTGTTTCTCCTTATAAAATGATACAGCCCCAAACCTCAATGTATTTGATTTGGGTTTTGAGTGATAATAAAATGTGCCATGAATTTAGATTAAACCCTGTTTTACAATTGCATCAGCCACAATTACTGCTGCCTTACTTTCAATTTATGTGTATAGCATTGATAAATGTGTATGAACGGGGTATTGTTTAAATGCACATCGTTGCCTGGGTTCCCCAAACGGCAGCGTGTGAATTACACTAAAACAGGGACCCCATTCAGCTCTGCATTCCTTGTCTTTACTATCCCAGCTGTTGAAGCATGTAGGCGTTACAACAGCTGCCGGGCAAGCAGATCATTCTACTGTTTCTATGTCTGTTGTAAAACTAAAGATATGACTTTCTCCCTCAGAATCATTGGAAATAATATTTGAGTTTGGAGAGTAGGTCCATTAAATAAGGCAGCTATTCACTATAAGTGAAGTTGTAATCAAAACAGGCTATTTCTGATTTGTTAACTATATGGCTTCAACTTTACTGACTCCTTAAGTTATTGCTTGGCCCTTAGTTGAAGGAATTTTTTAAATTCCTTTTATAAATACTGAAAACCTGATTACGGACTTGATGCATCATCATCTGTGCAAGAAGGATAGCCTGCCCATGTGAAATGCTCTACTACCTAGCCAAAAGAAAATGTCATTTTCTAATTGAGCTAAATGTTTCTATTCTTATTGATAAAGAAAACAAAATCTTGACCACAACTGCAGCACTTTGAAATTAATCAAGAAGTACACTACAGTTTATTATAGTTGTTTTTCTTGTTGTGACAGTGATATTTCTCAAAAATGAAATTACTGAGGAGAGTTGTCAATAGTAATAAAAAATGGTTGCATTATCCTCCACATGGTGATAGTTCTTTTAGGAGCAATTTTATTTAGCTGAAAACTTATTACATTTTCCTTTCTAAGAGTAGCTGTTTTATAGGGGCTAGATATGTTGCCTTTGCAGCTCCCTGCTAAATAGAAACAGTTGGGAATCCCAACCCCCCTTTCACCAACTCACAAAACGCATTAACCTAACCCTTTGGTGGAAGAAGGAAGGTAAGATTTGTTCAAGGTGTGCTTTAGAACAGTTAACACTTGTAAACTTAACAGTAAAAACAAAGACATCCAAAAGCAGAAAAGGTAGTTGTTAAATTTGCAACTAGTACTACTTAAAGGCTCATTATGTTTGGCGAACGGACATTCCACGTGCTGTGGTAGGGTCTCCCATTTGTTGTCCATATGTTACAGAAAGATACATACCCCAGAGGTAATTTTTTTTTTGTTCAATAGGGATTGACAGATGTATCAACCTAACTTCAGTACCACTCAATATTTTTTGCACTGCCTGCAGACAAATGGGATAAAACCAAATGTAGTGAACAGTGGCAGATTCAAATCAAATGTGTCCCATTTGTGTCACACTAATTTTATCTTAAATTATCTGACACTGTATTTCTCAATGGACAGCACTAAAATTCTAAAAGTTTTACACACCAAAATCACCTTGAAACACTTTTAAAAAACGCCTTTTATAGCTTGCCATATAAAACTATTGTAATGGCGGGTAGTAGCATAATTGTGAAACTCTGAATCTGCAAGTTTGGAGGAGCCAGATGATGGGACAGTTAAAAGATTAACCATACAGAAAAAGGAAAAAATTGGCAAATTGAGTAATCACTAAAAATGAGACGGAGCGGACCTTACTTTATCAAATTTTATTTGTTGGTATATGCCCAAACAGTAATAACTGGATCGTCTTGTGTTTTTCGTAATGCTTTCATTTTTATTGAATAGATTTGGGCACTTTTGAAAGATGTAGATTTGTATGATGGGTTAATAGCAGTAGAGGTTCCATAATGTGTCAAATGTAAGGAAGGTGGTACCACTTTTAACTGTGTATACAGTTGAAAGCAGGTGCTTGCATAAAGCGCATGCAAAAATCTGGTTTCAGCTACACAATGCCTGACAATTAATGGATAAAATTTGGTTTTAGGAGAGTTATGATTCATTTTTTATTTCAGTTTTTGTAATTTCAGAAAAAAATTTATTTTTTTTAATTAAATTTTCTTTCAGGTCCCATTTTAATGGTCTTTGAACTGTATTACTTGGGTCCAACATTTAAATCTTTTCCTGTAAGCCTCTCTCAATGATTTGCTTAAATAATGGTTCCTCTACAGAGCCCGTGTAACTGAGTCAGTTTTGTAGGTGACTAGCTCACACAAACCTTTTCATCTATGCCTTCATATTTCTCACTGTATTGAGAGCATGGCTTTACAGTGGCTACTCCCAAGTTTTTTGTAGTTAATTTGACTGTATGATTTGGGTGATCGTCAATTTGGAAGATCCATTTATACCCAAGGTTTAGCTTCCTGTTTGAGGTCAGGGATGTTGGTTCAGTATTTTCCTGTAATGTTCTTTTCACATATTCCCATCTATTCTATAAGGTGCATCAGGCCCTCTGCAGCAAAAAACCCATGGAGCAGGGGTCACCAACGCGAGCACCAAGGGGCCCTCAAGGACCACATGGGGTGCCCTCAGTATCTTCTGAAACCATGGGGCAAAGTTTGTAACTTAATTTTATTCCTTGAAATGTCATGAAGTGTCATTGACAAATATTGAAATTTTGGTTTGATCAGAGGCATTTATCCAACAATTCATGTATTTGTTTTGAGTGTGTTTTTAATAACTTTCTGCCCTTTACTATTACACTGTGAGTAATGTTTGTTTCCCTTCTATATAGGCCTTTAGTCCCTGTTGGTGCAAGACTTGATTCACTGTTGATGTAACTTCGGTTAGCATTTTCAGCTGGTTTTTAGCATAAGTTCTGAGACCTTCGCAAACTGTATGCTTCATAAACATCATCATGCTGATTATACTTTAGAACATATGAAAGTGGTGTCGCCCCATCAGGCATCTGGACATTATACTCAACGGTGAACAAACTTTCTAATACGCATGATTTGGCTGATTTCTTAAATTTTTTGTTTATCACAAGTAAGCAACATATTTTAAGGTGTTGTCTTCAAATACATGCCTTTTTTATGTAATAGTAATTTCTCTTTTCTACTAGTCTTGAATTTCTCTACACTGGGACATAATGTGATACTGAAAAAGGTCCTAAAGAATGTTTCCCGTGCTTTTAGGTTACACTTAAACAGGTTTTCTTTAATCTGCAGGTGTGCTGGTAATCATTCTTGTGTTGCAATTGAAGTAGGTGATATTTCCACACAAAACCAGGTTTGTTTGGTCTACGTTTTTTTTTCAAAAATTTAAACAGTTATTCAGAAAAATGTATCTTGTATTACTATTGTTTTCAGACTGATGTTAAAATCAGTTTCAGGACCTGAAATGAAAACATCAGAAACCAAGGGGGTAAATACTTTTCACAGTGCTTTAAATGATGTTGTGTACAGTGACCTCAGTATTTACTGATTTACCTAAATAAACTCTTTTTATAATTTTCTAATATTTAGTTTTCTGAGTGCCACTGGTTTTGGTTCTAAGGACATTTATATGCACAGCATGCTTTTGGGCACACATGGATTCAATGATGCCGCTTGTACTCTATGAGGGAGGAAAAAAAGCTCAGAAAACAGGAAACCCACCCTCGCTTGTTCAGTTTCTGTGGCTCCGATTCACGTTTCTCCATTTCAGTAAAAGCCTCTTTCACCCCTTTCACATGAACTAAACTGAGTTCATCCAAAATAATGCTTAAAAAATAAAATAAAAAAATGTTCAGACAGATTTTTGTCTGTTACTCTATTAATGTGTTTTTGTTTATTTTTACCTTGTGTTGTTTTGATGCTGACATCCACTTCACAGTCATACTATCCAGATGCTCAGCTCAGCTTTCAACCCTCCATAAAAAGACAAACACACACTCTTGGTACCTCTCTCATTGCAAACGTTTCCTCCAAGAGGGGCCCTTTCAGTAGGTAAATAATTTCTGTGGATAGTGCAGAACACTGAAAGCCCTCATATGGCTCAGGTGTTACTGAATGAGTCCTTGTTTCTGCTTCTACAAGTTGCTTCAGTCCATGTGCACAGCCATGCTACATGTGGAAAAAACCCTTATTTGGGAAAATCTGAAAACATTAACTTTCATTGATGTCTTTAAATGTTTAAATCTACCTTTAGATAACTTCCCAGATGTGTGAATGATAAAATATGGAGCTCTTGTACGTGACTGCAACTGAGTTATTTTAAGTTAGGCCTGTAGAGGGCAGCAGAAGCTTAAATATCATTCGGATTATGTTGTTTCCATGTGCATTTTTATGTGTACATAAAATACACCATATTTGTGAACACAGCACTTTGTTCATCCATATTAATATATACATAGCTATATGTTAAAAGTATATGAGTATGTGGAGGTGTGCTCAGGCTCAGCCATTTAAATCTGAACAAATTTTCTATAATTTTCTGTTGTTTATACTTTGTCTTCTGCGTTATTTGCCTTCAAATATTCAAAATCTCAAAAGGAAACACAGTATAATCACTTATACCAAAACATTTTTCTCCTACCTCCCACTCTTTTTAAGCATTGAAGCTTTCTACTATAAAACCAACATAGAAGAGGAAGCATTTTAAACTAAGAAAGGGCACTGTGATACAGAGGGCTCCGTTTTGAATAAATAGTGCCTTGCAAAAGTACTCACAGCCCTGAACTGCATTATATTTAGTCAAATTACAACCACTAAAGTGTACTTTATTGTGATTTTATGAGTTGGAGAAAACACAAACTGTATCCAGTATTAACATATTAGAATTATTTTACATGATCTAAATCAAAAGGAGCCAAGAGGCCAATTATCACTTTTA